TCTAACAAAAAATAAGATTTAATGTCTTATAAACATATCATCTTTGTGTTTAAAATGTACAATTTTCTTTTGCTTGTCTTAAGGCATTCTATAATTCCTTGATACCTATTCATTTGGTATAGTTATTTTTATAGGATATAAGTATTTTTTTGTAAGCAAATTTAGAGTATGTCTTTTAAGTAATGCAAATACTACACCTTTAAAGTTGTAAAAAAATACTTCGCTATTCAAACACTTTTTATAGATATGGTCTCAATGAAAGTCAGTGAATTTATTTCAGAAAATTTTCTAACCTATTAGTAAATATTACATATAAAATTACAGAAAAGAGTTAGGAGTTAAAGTCGGTTTAAAAAATCCAACTCATGTGGAGAAATAAAAAATCCGATTGGGAAGTGGAATAAAAAATCCAACTCGGGAGTCTGAAATGCTTTTGGTTTAATCCCCACCAATGCTGTAAATGTTTGTTAAAAAATAAATGTTGATCCAAATAGGCTTGCACATTTTAATGCGTTATATTACAATGGCCATGGCCTGCAATTTTCAGTAAAACAGCTGCAAGTTGTTTTCACTGAATGGAAATATTGGTATAAAAATGGATTGTTAAGTTGCTTGACTTGGCCATGATAGCAGAATATCAAATTAAAGTTAATCTTACTAGAAATCAACTGAAATGATCACTCAGTGAACTTTTTCATATAATAATATATCCTATAATCCTGTAAAGATGGCGACCTGATGGCCAATTGACTAGCGCTCTGGTGTTTGGTACCTCAGGCTCCAGGTTCGAATCCTGGAAGTGTCATGGATGTTTGTTAGTGGTACGGAATCCACTTTAAACTGTAGGTCCCTGTCTGTTTAGCTCTCATGTGCACAAGATGACCATAGAACGACAAACCAAACCTGTAAAGATGTTCAAGGCTTGTGTAAAAGTATTTGATGCCTGTTGATAAAATCAAGTGCATACCAATTTTGGTTCTTTTAGAAATGGAGTGGGATGTTGAATTTCAAATACTATTTCCGCAGCATATTAATGAACTATTTGCACAGTAAATAAATGAATAAAATGATAATTCAGTTTGAAAAATTCTTTCAAATTTTAAGTTCAAATCCTTAAATGTTTTAATGTAATGACAGGATGTAGATTTTAGGGGAAAAAAATATAAAAAAGCATAAATCTTCCAAACTGGTGGACATATTGTGTTACTGGTGATACTATGGTTTGAAAGTAGTTTTGTTAATATTGTGTAGAACAAATGAGTAATTGTTAATGGAATAGTACAGTTGTATTAAAAAATATATCCTCTGAAGATTTTTTCTGTCGTTAACAAAAAAAAAGAAGCTTATACTATCTAGAATGGTTCAGGAGAATGTGAAAGATTTTGCTTAGTTAGCTTTGAGCAATCTTTGGGTTTCAATTAAACTGAGCATTTATGGAATGAAATTTAAAGGGTATTTGGCAAATAAAGCTTCTGCACTTTAAAGAAAAAGTGAAATTCATGTATGTTTAGAAGTATATTAAAAACAATGATTTAAGGATATACTAAAATAGTCACAATGACCAGTTTTTAGTTGGTAAATAATTTTAAAATCTAGTGGCATTAATCATTTTATTTTATATACATTCTTTATTACATTATATTGCAAATAATGCAGCATTTAGTTGAATTTTAAAAATTTTATTACGGAATAGGTATAAAAATGAAAAACTTCTTTTCATTAATTTAGTAGATTAGGTTTTTAAATATGAAGCTTACATGTGAAAGTATTATAAAAAAAAGTCTTTCTATATTTTACTTTGTAATCTAATACTTCAAAAATTATTTACATTTTAATTTAATTTTTAGTTTTTTATAATAGTCAGTAATTTTTATTTTAAAATTTTATTATTCATAAGAGCTATAATATGGGTTTACAGTTCTATTTATGAAATTTTTAAGTGATGTATAGCAAATTGAAAAAAAAAATTTTTTTTTTGGTAATTTTATGTTTAAAGACAAATTTTCATTTGTTCCTTCTGTATTTCAAAATACTTTCCCTATAGCATTATTATTTATTCTATAAAGCTGTTTATCCCCCCTCCTTTTTTTTTAACTAGTATATCTGACAATACTTTGCCATTTCTAAATCTGGGTTTATATATATGAATTATAAATGCAATTGAAGTTGTATATCAATTAATTTTATTCAATTGTGACATGGGGGCCTGAATGGCCGAGTGTCTAGCGCTCGGTGCCACAGGTTTCGGGTTCGAGTCCCGACGGTATCCACGGATGTTTGTAGTAGTTCGGAATCTACTTTAAGCCGTAGGTCCCGGTCTCCTATGACTGTAAGAGCGTCACTGAGCAGAAGTCAGACTTCTACCTACGGGTATTCCATCAGAACAGAAGCTGCACCCCTCTTCCCTCCTTCCATGAAGGATACGACGACAACAACAACAATTGGGACATGAATTGAATTGTGTGTGATAGTTTTTTTTCTGTTTCCTTGCTGTTTTGTTTTTGATAGATTTTTTTCTTCCACAGCTTGTTAAATTATTTGGTTGCTCTTGATAATCCAATTTTGTATTTCGTTCATTGACTTTTTTTTTGAACTGCAGTCAAAATAGGGAAAATTCCAATCTTCAATTATCTCTGTAAAAACAATATCACTACCATCATATTTCATTGAAACTACTCTCTACTAAACACTTCTGGCACTAATAAGAACAAACTGAAATTGTCAGCGAAATCTGTCATATAGGTTTTGAGTCTTTAGGGGACACACATACAAACATTCTTTTATTTATATAGATTTAGATACTTAAAATTGTAATGAAATAGGTAAATTTTAGATATTTAAATTTAATTATGAATTTATATAGTAAAATTTTTATTATCATGCCTATATTTTTTAATATGCTTAGTTAATTGTGAAACAAAATGTTTTTATTTTATTAATTTTATATTTTCATTTGAAAGCTGCTTACAGGAACATATTTCAAGCCCCTGTTCATCCACCACCACCTGGAGGTGTTCCTGTATTTCCAATGGCTCCAGGTACTTGAACTTTTAAGAATTTTATATATATGTGTTTCTAAATTTTAAAAAATTTTTAAAATTCAAATGGAATTTTTAAATTTAATAATGATAATTTAAAATACTGTTATTTATAAACTAAAATTACGTCTTCATAATCATATTAATGTATTTTAACCAATCTTTTGTATTTTATTCTCGGAAAAGAACTGCATGCTGCTGAATACATTTGATTTACATTTTTGATGTTAATAAATTGTTATACCTAGAAAATTCTAGAAATTAGACCATAGTTACATCTGGCATTCTAGTGAATCTTTTGTGACTTGATAATTTAATTAAAAATACCTAAATAATAATTTGATATTTGGTATGCATTTATTTTACATTTTTTTAGAATTTTTACCTATTTGATTAAGCTTTAATCTTTGATGAAATATATGTTTTAAATCTAAAAACTACTCTGCAATTAAAACTAATTCTGAAATATTATAATATATTATATTATAATATAATTATTATATTATAAAAATACATGAAGTGAAACAGTGAATAACTAAAGATTAGACAAATAATTAAGAGAGAAATAGCTAGGTTGAGAAAGTGTTGCAAGAATTTTTTTTTATCAGGACTAACTGCATTTAAAAAATAATATCTTAAGCTGAGTTTAAGGTTATACAATTTCATTAACTTGTACTGAGTTTTAAAAATGCTTTTTAAATATTGAAGGTTTTTATTTTATTTTGTGCAGTAAATTAGGATTTGAATTTGAAATAGAAGTTTAACATGAATTCTAATATTTACATTTTTAAATAAGAAAACTATAATTTGGTTTGTTCATTTATTGATTTTGTACATTTTTATTAAAGGGTATTATCCCCCTTCACCACAAACTGTTGTTGTAAATGCTCCTACTGGCACTCAAGGTATGTTAATAAATTGTGTTTAGTGTTGAACAATAAAAATCATTGTTAAATGTTTTGTGAAATATCATTGTTTATTGGGATTTTTTTTTTTTTTTTTTTTTTTGCTTTATGTTCATAAGAATATGCTTTCTTGATAAGATTGAATTACATTGAATAACTTATTTATGAAGAATTCTCAGTTAGCATATAGTAGTATTTTGGGAACATTTTTCCCATTCATCTGAAACTTTTCAGAATTCATATAATATAAAATATAATTTTTTTGGAATCTTTTCAGCCAAAAAATTTCTGATTCTTTTAACACATTGAATTTTAATGTAAAATATTTTTATTTTTTTCCTTCTTAAATATTTGATATATGCTAGCATTTAAATATTTAAAGAGTAAAATTATTTTATTATAATTAGTTTGTATGAAGATACAATATATTACAATCATTTGGAGAGACAACTGTTAAACACACATTTGACTTGACAATCGAAAGGGTATATGGGGATGCGAAGCAACAAGGACTATAATCCCCTAATTACTATATAGGAACAGTTAGTTTTTCGCTATTTAATATGTCACTTTCTGTAACGCTCTATAATCATGTTAGACCGGGACCTGTGGTTTAAAGTGGATTCTGAACCACCACAAACATTCATGACACCGCTGGGACTCGAATCCGAAACCACCAGAGCGCTAGTCACTTGGCCATTCAGTCCTCTAAACACATGTTATAAGCTGTCTTCTTTCAAATATAAAATAATAAGTAAAAAAAGTTACTTGAGTTGTTGTTGTTATTGTTTCTTATCCCACTTGGCTGGCCAAGCCCACGAGCCCATACGTACTCATGATTGAAGGGGAAGGAAGCAGCTTCTGTTGTGATGGAGCACCCGTAGGTAGAAGCCTGACTTTTGCTCCGTGACGCTCTTACAGTCATAGGAGACCGGGACCTACGGCTTAAAGTGGATTCCGAACCACTACAAACATCCGGGACTCGAACCCGAAACCTGTGGCACCGAGCGCCAGAGCGCTAGAGACACTAGGCCATTCAGGTCCCAAATTTTGCTACGGTGTTCCCAGGTGGTCACCCACCCAAGTACTGACCGCGCCCAATGATGCTTGACTTCGGTGATCTAACGAGAACCGGTATATTCAGCATGGTACGGCCGTTGGCTACTTGAGTTGTAATGCAATTAAAGTATTACCAAATAAAACAGTGAAAAATGAAAATATTAAAGGATAAAATAAAATGTAGAAAAATAAAAATACTGTACTGGGTATGTATTTATTGTACTAATTTTTTTGTAAGTGGATTTCATTTTCAATTTTTTTTTTTGAAAGGAGAAACTACAGTAATTTTACAGTTTTTTTGTGCTTTCTTTTGCAGCCTAATTAAAAAGACAGTACTATAGTAACTCATTTGAATTCAAAATACCATAAAGTAATATACTTTACTACTTTAACGCAGCACATCTGAATGTATATAAGTTAACTATTAGATTTAAGATAATTATTTTAAAAAATAGGGAGTCATTTGTATTTTTCTTGGAATCTATGTATTTTTTTGTAATTTATATGGGATTTAATACTTTGTAAGTGTAACAAATTTTGAAATATGCGTTGTATTGAACGCCTCCACGGGGTAATGTAATTTATAAAGAAAGTACAGTTAAAGAACAAGTCAACATAAATTTGTAATATTATGTTTTTGTTTTCTCTTTTTTGTAGTGCAGTTTTGTGTAATTTCATGAAGCTAAATGTATTAACATATTTATTTATTGAATTCCAATTTATAACAAAATACATATTCATAGTTAAAGTGCATTTCTGCATACTTAATAAAAAGTAGAATGTCTTTTTATCATGTGATTATTATTTTTTGTTTTTGTTTTGGGGTTGACATCTTTTTGCACATCATTTAAAACCATGTGCATTATATTTGATGAGAGTTTTTACTCCCCCCCTCTATAGCTGGAGTACAAGCTGTTACCGTATTAAGTGTTCAACAGTGTGGACCTTATCCAATGCAAGTTACTTGTCCTCACTGTTCAGCTCATGTTATGTCAGAAACTACTGCTTTACCAGGATTATTAACATGGTTATTAGCAGGTGGCCTTGTTCTTTTAGGGTAAGTTTGAAAAAAAACAATAATAATAATTACCAACAGTTATGAATGATTGACATTTTCTATAGATTAAATACTGGAAAAAAATTTTCTTTTAACATTTTAACAATTTAACTTAGCTCAATGTTAATGTTCTGAGATCTGATTTTCCTTTCCTATTCACTATTTTATAGTATGTTTATATGTGTTTAATAAGTTAATCATTTTATCTGATTTTAAGTACAATAAGACAAGATATGATTATTTCGTAGAATTATTTATGTGAGAGTAATAAATTTGAAATTATGATTAGTGTGATAGTTAAATTTTTTCTACTATTGATATATTTTTCATTCAAAATAGAATTAAAATAAAATGTATTGATAGGAGCAACTTTATTTATTTATTGAAGTAACTAGTTTATTTCATATTTTCAAAGCATGAAGAATTTTATAAGATTAAAAAAAGTTTTTAACCTTTTCCTTTTTCTTGCATCTTTTAATCTGTGTTTAAATCATGAATTAATTAATTTAAATAATTTTATTTCATGAGTGTAATGTTAAACATATAACTCATAACTATTGTAGTGTAATAAATACTTATTAAATGCATTAAGAACTTCCTAAAAAGGAAATATTCATGAGAAATATTTTTTTATATTAAAAACATAAAAAAAGTTATTATTTGAATGAATTTTTCATTGTAAAATTCATTTCTTGACTCAAAATGAATTACTGAGCAAGGCCTGATAAGATAAAGTAAATATATTTTGTAATAAAATTTATACTCAAATTTTTTATATATGGTGATAATTTTAATAAAAAAGAATATTTATTTTGTTTTATACAAGAAACCTATTTTAAACCGTTTATTAACTTCTATGCTGCACTTAAAATAGTGTTTTTTATTTTAAACTATTCAGAAATCTTTCATTAAATCCTACACTATTCTGAGTGCTAATTAAATTGAATTTATTATTTTTACAAACTCATAAATTATAATGTAATCTGTAATCGTATTTATTTTAAATTTGTAAAATAGAATGAAAGGAAAAGAAAAAAAAATTTTTTTCGTTGAAAAAGGTGATATTAATGAATCTAGTAAATGAAATAATAAATCTAGCAAAATATTGGAAAAAGCCATAATGTTGCACCAGTTAAACAAAACTAAGGGCATCTTTTAAAATTTGAATTGCAAGTGTGCTTTTTTATTTTTAGTCATAGTAATGCAAATATAAATACAGCTATTAAACTTTCATTGTGATATTTTTACTTTAGCATAATTGATGTTTTTGTAAAAAGTTAAATTTTCAGTTATTTGTGGAAGTAATTTTGTAAGTTTTGGCATATAATTTTCTTTGGGTTAAAAGATATATTAATTTTGAAAAAATTATCTCCACTTTGTGCTGCATGTTTAAAACTTAAGAATCAGCAAACTTCTACAATCATCCCACACTTCATTATAGAGTATATTTTTCAGTATGCTCTACATAAGGAAAATCATTGCAATTTTTATATTTATCTAGTGCATATGTTCCATTCTTTTTTCTCTCCCATACCCTTTGATAAAACTTTTCTACCTCCCCTTCTTTCATAAATCTCCCTCACCCCTCCACAAAAATGTTTTTTGTTTACAAATTGGAAGCTTTATTTCTATATGTTGCATTAAAAAGTATGATTTCATGGCATCATTCAACAAAATCTGTTCACAAATGGCATTGAATGGTTTGGAGCAATTTTCATCCTCTGCTATTGAAACTCTACATACTAAAGTATTTATCACAGCATTTACTCTTTTTTTGGTGAATGCTTTCATTATGATTTCCTTGCAATTTAAATCCTCATACTGCTCTACAGTTAATCGGACTTTTTCAATTCAATGAGTTGAATTTCATTGCTATAACCAGTTTTCTTAAGAGTATTAATTTTCAACTATTTATCTATTTAAAGATGTATAATGGTACCAACAAAAAGACACTAAAAAAAAAAAAAAAAAAAAAAAGACATGAAGCTAGGCCTATTAATGTGCATTCAATTGGTCCCCATTCGAACATTAAAATTATGGTTTGCTTTCAGTCACATTTCAAATAAAAATGTCTGTGTTGGAAACTGAGATTATTCAATATATTTCTAAAAGAATTGCAAGAAATGACAAGTGAAGCAAAAGAGACATAGGGTAAAGCATATGTGAAATTGTGTAATATAATTGGTAATGACCAGGGCTTGTGATGAGCAATGATCAGTCAATTACTAAGTTTATGCCTATTACTTCCTCTTTTCTTGGTGTTTTTCCATCATTATTATTATTATTTTAATGTACCACAATTGATTAGCTGCATACCCCAATTTAGGAACTGCTGATCTGGTACTTGCTTTTATGTCTGTGGAGTTAACTAGAAATTATTTTCATTAAATAGAGAAATATTTAATTTTAATGAAGATTTGTGTCTAGAAATTGGCAATTTGTTTGTAAATTGACAGAAATTTAATCTGCCATAGATCCATTGATCACAATATAATGTTAATAAAGTGCGTAATATAATGCACAAAAAAAAAAAAAAAAAAAATATTGCAACAGGGATTATAAATAGAAAAATTGAGCTATACAATTATTTAATACTATAAAATAAAAAAAGAATTAATAAATAAACATTTTCAATGCATTAAAATTTTTTTTAAAAAGTAGGTATAGTATTAAATAATAGTACAGTTCAATTTTTCTATTTATAATGCTTGTTATTGCAATATTTTAATTTTGTGCATTATATTATGTATTTTATTAACATTAAATTGGGATCAATAGATCTATGGCAGATTAAATATTAGCCTGCAAAATATTTGTCATTTAAATATTTGTTCTAAACAATAAAAATTTTTTTGGAGATTTTTTTAATTTGTAAGATTTAACTTCACTAGACAGTTGAAACGTTTATACAATATTGATATCAAGTTAAATATTTGCATGTTTCAAAGTAATTTTAGTTTTTCCATCTCTTGTGTAGAAAAAATACTTAAAAATACTATTAGAATTTAAAATTTACATGTTTAAATAAACAAAATTACTCATGTTTTCAATGATCTGAATTTGTAATAACTAGTCATTTCAGTAGAATTTTTACAAGTTTTAAAAGTATCTCAAATATCAAAAGGTTCTGCTGTCTCATAATTTTTTTTCTGAAAGAAAATCTGTATTAATTTGGATATTAATACAGATTTTTATGTATTCAATTTTCCAAAAGTTTCCAGTTAGCTGAAAAGGTTTTCCCGAGTTGGTTTTCCTAAATTTAAAAAATGTATACTTCTAAGCATTAAACTTGGTTTTTAATAATGTTACATTTCACTTAATGTGCAGTTATTTGATACTAAGTAAAAGGTGAAAATATGTTTTTAGTATTTAGTAATACTGAGGTTTACTAAATTTATTACATATAAATTAATACAGGATTTAAATTAGTAGTGATAATGGATAAGCATCAGTAATGCATTTCTTTATCTGTCTAAGGTAAGGTTTATAAAAGATATTGCAATACATTAAATCTGATTGTAAATTGTGCTAATTGATATAAGAAACTGATATAAAATTTATTTTAAGTTTTTTAATTATAACTATTTTACTGAGAAAAAATTGTGGAAGTTTTAGATTAATAAGTAGGTTAAGATATACTACTAACTAAGACATACATTACTACAATACAGCATTTCAGTTTTTAAAATAACAATGTGATAATTTCACAAAAACCTGGCTATCTTAGGTTGAAAATCATTGATTTATATAAAACCTAAACTAGATATATTAAGTTTGCAAATTTGTAGTTCAAAAATTTATATTTATGCCCTAAATATCTATTATATTTCATCTTTCAAAATCTCCAATGATAGTTAAATAGTTGTATAAATAAATAGTATTTTGAATCCATTTTGAATAAATACTTTTTTCTGAATTTTAAATATTAAATGACTGTATTGATTACTTTTAATCATTTGAAATTAATTGATTTCTTTTTAAAATTTTGCATAGATGTTGGGCAGGCTGCTGTTTAATTCCTTGTTGTGCTCCTGAATGTCAG